AATTACTAAATCTTAAATATTGTTTGAATTAAAATGTAAAATGATCATAGGTAGTAGGTGAAGTGTTCATTAACAAAATAAAGACAAGAGGAGGTATGTTCTACAGGGGTGTGGTGAGGTATGGGGGAAGGTATGTCTCAGCAGGCCCATGCCAAGGCATCCCTTCCCCCGAGGGACCAGCCACATGATTGTATAGTATAGAACAGAGTTTATTCAGGGCATGGGGAGGGATGTCAAGAGGGTAGTAAAGGCAGAGAATGGGGGGGGGGGAGAATATGAATATGAACATGAATATGAATAGAAGAGCACAGGCCGGCCCTGCCCCCCCGGGGGGGGGGGGGCCATGGGGATGGAGAGAGAGGAAGAAGGGAAGAGCAAGGGAGCAAGGGAGCAAGAGCCCAAGAGAGCAGGAGAGAACAAGATGGAGGAGGGGGCAAGCAGCCCCTTTTATAGTGGATCAAGCCTACCTGGCTACTGTCAGGTAACTGTGGGGTGGAGCATACCTGGCTATTGCCAGGTAACTGCAGGGATGGAGTTTAGACAGAATCTAATAGTAGTTAGCTTGACAGTATCTGATTTGCAGACCCGTAATTTGATTTTTAATTATATAATTTATGATGAAATTAATAGGCATTTCAATAAGTAGCTACTTTTTTATTATTTATTTTTAAAATTTTTCAAACTTCTATGTCCTATAAAATTTAGCTTCATACAAAATCAGTAACTGAATTTGTATATCTATTTTGTGTACATTTTTACTTATTTAGGCACTTTCATTTTAATTGAAACATTTGTTTTAGATTATCATATATGAGTACTGTCTTGACATCATTTCCATTCTTCCCTCTTCCCCTACAACTCCTCCTGTGACACTCCAACCCTCGCAAATTCATGATTTCACACACACACACACACACACACACACACAGACACACAAACTTTTAACAACGATCTTGCAAAATCAAGTACTTGTAATGGTGAATTGGCATTCAGTAAAAGCATCCTTTGCTAAGTTACTCATAACTTTATACTTAATATAAAAGAGAAAGGTGATGTAGCTTGTCACGAGAGTCCCTGACTTGAATGAGATCCTAAGTTTGATCCCATAAAAATGAAAAGAGTTGTATCAATCAAAGCAAAGGTAAAAAGTAAGCACACAGCTGCTCAATAAGACTAGGGAGTAAAAAACACGCTGCACACATGCATGGTCAATTCATGTTTCCTAAATGTAAAAAGGCAACTCAACGGAGAGAATGTCATCTTTTCAACAACATGGTTGTTCAAAATGTTAAGATATCCATATTAAAAGCTGTCTTATTTATCACATACAAAAGTTAACATGCATACAACTTACAGGAAAAAAGTACATATAGAAACCCTTTTACTTCAGAGTTGGCAAAGATTTGTGAAATTCAAAACCGAAAAAAACATGGCTGATGAAAACAAAAATGCTGGCAGAGAACAACTACAGGCCAGCGGAAAATATAAAGCAATCCTTGATCATGAATGTGTGTCCAGAATGCATCAAGAACTCTTAAAACTCCAACTTCTGTATACTGAAGATCAGAGTAAACAAAATGGCAATCCATGTAATAAAAAAAAAAAACAAAACTTTCAAGTTATATTTGATATTGGCCTCTAGGCAGTCTCTGGGGCATTCTCTTGATTACTGGTTGATTGTGGGAGTACCCAGCTCTAAGGAGGTCTGACCTGGACCAAAGCAAGTTGATAGTGGTTGCACATGTCTTTAATTCAAGCACTCCAAAGGCAGAGCCAGATGGATCTCTCTGAGTTTGAGGCCAACCTAAGCTATAGAGTAATTTCCGGGGCTACCCAGAAAAAGTCTGTCTCAACAACAACTACAAGTCAGGGGAGCAAGCTACTAAGCAGCATTCCTCTGTGGTCCCTGTTACAGGTTCTAGGTTCCTGCCTCAGAGTACTGGATGAACTGTGTATTATCAGAACATATTAGCTCTTTCCTCCCAGTTGTTTTTGGTCATGGTGTTTATCACAGAAATAGAAAGGAAAGTACAGTAGCACTCAATCAAAAAAGGAAATGTAGATGACAAGCACATCAAAACACATTCAATATGACTGGCCATGTGGTTCGGAAATCAACATTTCCTACTATACAGACACTAGGCTCAACCCCCAGAATCACTGAGGCACTTACGAATATAGAGAATGAAGTGTGTATTAGTTATCTATCACTGTGGCAAAATATCTGACAGGAATCGGCTTACCAGAAGGAGGACTGATTAATTTTAGTTTATGGTATAAGAAAGGATACAGTCTAGCATAATGGGAATTGTATGGCCATCAGAGTACAATGCACTCTTCAATCAGGAACTAGAGAGAGACCATGTACTTCACAAGATGCCTCCTTTGACTACAGAAATACTACTACTCATGGTCAGGAAGGGCTTCCCTCTTCAGTTAAACCTGCCCATAGATGTGCCTCATCTTGTCTCTTAGATGACTCCAAATCCAGTCAACTTGGCAATAAGACCGACTCTTACAAGATGCTCAGCATTAATGGACAGAGATATACAAACTCAGAGAGTTAAAATGAAATACTATTAGACATCTATTAGAATAGCTAAACTCAGCCAGGCAGTGGTGGCACACGCCTTTAATCCCAGCACTTGGGAGGCAGAGGCAGGCGGATTTCTGAGTTCGAGGCTAGCCTGGTCTACAGAGTGAGTTCCAGGACACCTGGGACTTCGCAGAGAAACCTTGTCTCAAAAAACCAAAAGAAAGCTAAACTCAATGGTTAAAACCGACAATATCAAGAGTTGTGGAGAAGACTGACTCATACATTGCTGGTGAGAAAAAACATCCAATCGGCCATGTCCTATAAAATTAACAGTTAGCATAAAACCCACTCCATTCCGTTTCTATTTACCCATGAAAATAGTTATGTTCATACAAAACTGTATACTAATGCAGTTAGTATTACAAAAATGTATACATTAATTAGTATACAAAAATGTATACTAATGATTTATTCATAATCAACAAAAACTGCAAACCTAAATGTACCATCAACTATAGGATGAGTAAACTATTATACACTCATACAATAGAGTGGAATTTAGTAACAAGCAGGGATTAGATATCAACGCAAGCAACACTACTGACAAGTCTCAAATGCTGTCATCTAAGCATGTGAAGTCACTCCCAAAAAGCTGCTTAGTACACAAATCCATTTATAAGACATTCCAGAAAAGGTCAAAGTTTAAAGGTCACAGATCAGTGGCTTAAGGGGACAGAGTTGACCACAAAGAGGTTTGAAGGAAAGTTTTAAGGTAATGGAGTCACTGTGCATTTTAAGTGGGATATTAGTTATGTAACTATGTAAAAACTCAGAACTATATACTAGATGAGCATGAATTTGCTGTTATATAAATTATACCAATAAAAATGATAAAGGTATTAAGAAAAATAAATGTAATACATAAAGTGATACCAATCCATTATATCACAATGAAGCAATCAAAGATATAAGGTATAAGATTAGTTTATGTATCATAGAGATCTGATACAGACATGCTACCTATTAAGCACAATGAAAACAACAGGAAGCTATTTCAGCTTTATGAATTAAAAGTTAAGATATATATTACTGAAATTATTTCATTTAGTGAGACAGAAAAAAAGGCAATCATATCCTGCCTAAAACCACTGAATTTGAATAATTAACTGACTCTTTATCACAATGTGCAGATTCAAATCCTCATGAGATAATCAGGAGTAAGTGTTCGGGAACATAATTTTCCCACCTCCACTTGTCAAGTGCTCAGAAATAATCAGTGCAAGGCATATGCCATTTATTTAAATACTCTCTAAGCAGGAGAGCCATCAGTAGTCAGCTCTGCTCAAAAGAAGAAAAAAGGTGAATCTAAGAAGCCATACTTGAACAGATAAAGCATGAATTCGTGTCATTAGCCCTATAGTAACTTATTTAATTTTTATTTTTTGAAACAAGGTTTGTCTACATAGCCCTGGCCATTCTGCAATTTGTTATGTTAGCTGAGCTGTGCTACCCCACACTCAATTAATTTTTTATATGTGTTCAAGTTTTTATTTTTATATGTGTGTGAGGGTGCCTGCAGAGGCCTGAAGAGGTTACCAAATCCTTTGGAGATGGAGTTACAGACAGTTGTGAGCAACCAAACATGGTCAACGAACTAAACTTGAGTCTTTTTGAACAACAGGCACTATTTTCTACTGAGCCTTGTCTCCAGCTCCTAGCTTAATTTTAAATACATAAACACCATGGCTTACAACACAGGTTGGGTTTCTTCCTCATTTCTAAAGCAACAGAAAAGCAAAAGTAGAATTAAAATCCAGACCAATCTGATTTCAAAGCTTTTATTTCCACTCTGTTTACTAATAATCTCTCCTGGCTATCTGCAAAGTTAAGGTTGTACATGCTTCAAATGAACAATTATCTGTCGAGAATGCACCCCCCCCAACATACATACAACCTGCTAAGTAGTTAAGGACGATCTCAAACTTCTGACTGCCAGGATTTCACAGATGAGTTTAACGTGATTCTGCACACAGGGCTTCTTCCTGAACACTACAACTAAGCATGCTATCAACTGAGCTTGTCCTAAGCCCTCTTTCAAGATTTTAGTAGGAACATAACTTAATATTAAACCCCAAGCATAAAAACATGTATATATGACCAGTTTTTAATTTAATATATAATCTTTTATCTACTCATTCAAAATTCTAAGCAACAAAATCACTTAATCTTAAGAGATTAAAAATAGCAAATATACAAGAAATAACCAAAGGATATATGAAAAAGTAATCATGCTCACTTCTGACCTTAATGAAGAATTTATTATAAATCTAATTTTAAACAAAAGAATATAGTAAAAAACTTCCCCTTTCTTTTGGCTTCCTGACATCTGGCTTTCCTCTATTGTTGTCAAAGCTGCCAGTACCCTGAATTATAACACAGATTGTTTACTGCAGCAGAAACTCACCCTGTGAAGAGTCACTGTGTGCTGTTCCCATATAGCTGTTTCCTCCATTGCTGTGCTCTGATAAAGGAAAAGAAAACAAAGCATTTACCTTTAAAAGAAAAAATAAATAATAAAGTAAAAGAAAGCATTCTGGAAACAAGTCAGCACAATAAAATACCAAGACTTGCACTGTTAGTATTAAAAATATTCTGGAAGCCACTTAATAAGTATGAAAGGGTTGTTTGTTTTTGTTTTAAGAGATAGGAAACCATACACCAGAACTCCCTTTGTTTTAACTTAATTTGGACAGATGCCACTCTACACTTAACACAGCAAAATCAAGTTAAAGCTAGGAAATTCAGCAGCTTTGTGCTTAACATTAGACAAGAATAAAAGTTGCAACCGTTTTAAAATATCTACATGGACATTTAAGAGCATTTTTCATGTTGCATACAGCAAGAGAAGGTAAAATACCTCTGAACTCAGTATTTGTAAATACACGTTCCAGAAAAACAGATTTAGACCATCTGATAGGCTTAAAGTCACAAGCAATACTATTCTATCCAGTTTCAGTTTTATGTCAGAATCACTTCCTCTAACTTCAAGTATAGCCACATAGAAAAAGACTATTATGTTACACATATCATAAACATGCATCTACAAATATATTAAAACAAAAATCACAAGGGCCCAATCCCCCCAGAATCATAAACAAACAGTACAAGTTTCAGTGTAGATCCTAGCCAGACCACAGGGCAGCTGAACTTTGTCTCCTACCATTAGTCTCTCATGAAGAGAATAAGAGAATCTGAAAGTTGAACACTAAAAATTTAAAACAAATTTCCTTTGAATTTGGGTTAATTGCTTTTGGTAGTTTAAAGTAACGTAGCCCCTCTTAACATTACTTTTTAATAAGTTGGGATGCCTAATATGCATTTCTTAAAAAAAAAAACTTTTTTTCAGCGTGGTGAAGTGACTGTGGCATGGCATATTCAGATCACCCTTTATCAGCTATTACTATAATTGCGTCTTTCACGAGTGAGATCTGTCTCTGTTACACAGCTATCAGCAGCATCACAAGACTGCGCATCAAGGTGCCAGAGGCCTATTTCTCTTTTCCCACAGCAACTTTAATTGAAAGATTAATGCCACTTTAGAAAATGAACTCCTATAAAGAAAGCCTGCTTCCCTAAATTCAAAGCAACTAGATTGACTTTCCTCCCAAATGAATAAGGGACAAGAGAGAAAGGATCTCTGTGTTCATTCCCATAGATAAGAACTGCCAACTTTACCAGCTTTTGTTTCAACCTTCCAATCATGAGCAGCAAAACTTTCTTTTAATGAGACTTGCCTGGAAACAAAACTGTTTTTTTTTTTTTTTTAGCAAAATCTGACCAGATTTTAAAACACACACACAGACAGACAGACAGACACACACACACACACAACTGCACAACGCCTTCTCCATCCATGTGAAACAAAGACAGTAATGAGCAGATGTACTAAACACCCATAGTTCCACTAAAACACACATAATAAAGCGTCTGCAGTAACTGGCAGTCTGTGCAATCTCAGCTGACATTAACAGTGAGAACTGCTTACACTGCTCTAAACTGTTTTTTTCTGGATTCACTTTGTTAACTAGTAGTAGTGCTGCACTGACTTCTTAATCCCTTCCCCATCAGTCCAAACAGTAAGTGATCTGATAACTGGTACTTTTCTTGGTTACTGTCTTATGAAAAGTGTGTGTTTCTCTACAAGGTTGTGATGATCACTGTTGGGCAAAGAAAAGTAGATTATAGAACAGCTTGGGTATTGTCAAAATCTAATTTTGTTTAAGCCAAAGTGGAGAGAAAATTGAAAGGATATGAAAACGGTTCGTTCATGTTGATCGGCTTGAAATAAAAGGACCGTGGGTCCTTTTTCTCATCAGGTGCTTTATCTTTCTGTTCTTTTTCTACTCATAATAAACTGGCAACATATTTTACACTACATTCACATTCCACTGTTACATAAAATTTCAAATATCTGCTTCTAGTTGGACTTTTTGTTTTAAACGTTTTGTTCATTAAACTATGAAAATGGTGATTATTGAGTAGGAACTGGACCCTTTAGAATAGGGCGGATATTCTCTGGAAGAATATCTACAAGATTCCGAAGAGAAACTGAAGCTGACTTGGGGAGGATTACTCTCACTGTTAGTCTTTTTGTACTATTTTATAATGCTCATCTACTGCTGTGCAAATAAATTTAAGTGCAAACTTAATTTTCATGCTGTAAACTTATAAATCTCTTTAAAAATGAATCATTGTAAAATCTGCATAAGAGCCTCTGTTAAATCATCATCAGTCCCCTTCTAGAACTGACTAGGCTTGTAGGAAACTAGACAACAGGACATTAATCCGCTAAGCATGATTCTGCTTCTAGTATTCTCTGTTAACTATACAGGATACATAGAAAATGAGCTAACATAGAAATAAGACCAGCACCAAATCTATTAATGTGTTAGCTTTCCTCACCTATAAGATCAGGAAATTAGACTAAATTATCGCAAGGGAAAGGTCTTCCAAGTTCCAAAGGTCTACTTATTAAAGTGTACTGAAGAATAGGTTACAAATTCAATAATTAGCATCAAAAGTGACTGTAATTCATGGTTGCTGTATTAGTTTTGCACACACTTCTAAGTCTGCATCAACTGACTAGATTCATAATTTCTAAATAAGCAAAAAGCTGTATTTCAGAATCTGCCAAGAGTTTGTTTGGTTTCTTTGTTCTAAGCTCCAGCTGGCAAATACACTACTCAGATCACCAAATCGGAAGGGCTTCCTGCCAACTCTAGATCCTAATTCTAGGCAGTTTCATCATCCTTTAGACCAATTACAAATCAAATGGGAGAAAGACTGGAGAGCTGAACTGACAAGAAAGCTCATTTTCCTATGTCTGAGTAGTACATGACATGTGTTGTGATGTGCTGTTGAGAACTTTAAACTCAAACAGTGCAATCAGGATTCATTCTTAAGACAGTAAATGGAAGGCAAAAAGATCAACTAAAGGAAAGTTAACATGAGAAGGAGGGTGCTCAGGAAAGGGCGGTAGTGGTGCATGCCTTTAATCTTAACACTGGGGAAGCAAATATATCTGAGTTCGAGGACAGCCTGGTCTTCAGAGTGAGTTCCAGGATAGCCAGGGCTACACAGAGAAACTCTGCCTTGAAAAATCAAAACAAAACAACAAAACAAAAGGCAGCTCTGAAAGGGCAGGCTGCAGTTACAAATGTGGTCTCAGACATTCGTTAATTGAGATGCCTAGGATTTACATGTTAGAAGATCAAGACTGAGACCCAGCTAGAATAGATCCGGATCTAAGAGCAATCAATTGACAAGATTGTAGAACTGAAACAGATCTATTTACAAAGGACTAAGATGACCCTACAGACTACAACTACTCTAGTGAAGGAAGGACCAAGTGGAGCAGAACAGTTGCCAGTGAGAACGCATATAAACCAAGAGGTAATACAAAACATTCTTTACTGTCTAGAGAGTACACCAACATACAAAAACCAAACATTTCCTAATCTGAGATCAATAGTCTTTATTATCTAACATCACAAAAGAACAACATTAACATGAGTTTTAAAAATGCTAGATCCTTAAATAACAAATATATGCCTAGAAAATTACTGTTAAAGCACCATGAACTGTTTCACATGGCTCCCAATCCTCCATTAGGAAAATCAAGTACTCCTGCTCTTCCTGGGAGCTACTCTGTTCCTTAAATGGTTCCTAGTTTCCCTGGAGTGCTAAGGTTTTGGGAGTTGTTGTTGTTGTTTTGGGTTTTTTGAGGGGACTTTGTTTTGTGTTTTATTTTTGTTGTTGGCTTTTATTCTATCTAAAGTAGAACACAACACTACTTCTTGGGGTGAGACTGAGTGAGGAACTAAGACTACAGGGATGGACCTTGACCTGTGAATTTTCAAATGCACCACGTCAAACTCTAACCACTGTTCTACAAGAAAAGCACAAAGATCTCCATCTAGAATGTATGTTCGAAGATAGCAGATGGCATACAGTGGCAATGATCTAAGGGAATTACTTCAGTTCTCCAAACAGAGATGCCAAAAGTAGTACAAGAAGATCAATCTGAAGTTCAATGATGTGAGGTTCTCAAGAGACTCCCAGAGCAGCCAGGGACTCAACAAAACTCACAAATACAAGAAGAAAAAACAAACAACAACAGCAACAACAAATCCACGTCAATGAATGTAAGAATTCAAGTAGTTTTTAATAAGCATGCAGTGACTACAGAATAGAAATCATGTAACAAGTGAGCACAAATGTAACGAGTTACAAATGAGCGAGTGTGAGAACACTGACACTGCAGGGGAAATCAGCATCTCTACGAATACAGTATTTCAGAGTTAAGTCTAAAGAAAATCATGTAGAAAAACAAAAATGTCAATTTCATAAAATGAAAGCTTATTTATATATTTATAGCAAAAGAGCTGGCTTTAGTATCAAATATTTAAATTTTTGTACTTGTCAAAGTGAACAAACATATATAAACCTTATAACCCACAAAATAACATGAGTTTTAAATTAAGCAGACAAAACTAGTTTATCCTGTTAAAAGTCAGGACAAAGTCATCCTTGTACATGGGCACAGAAGTTGGAAGAAACTCCTAGATTCCAGTAAGATTCAATTTGAAAATTAACTTATATACACCTAATGATCTATCTATCTATTTAGTGTACTGTTAAAAATTACTTCAGAATATTTCAAGTGGTCCAACCACTGGAGCAGAGACTGTCCCTAAAGCTGTTGCCTGTCTGTGGAATCCATTCCCCTAACTGGACTGCCTCATCTGGCCTCAGTGGGAAGCACCTAATCCTCCAGACATTTGAAACGCCAGGGTGGGGGGATATGGAAGGGTGGGGTGAAGCACCCTCTCAGAGAAGAAGAGGAGAGGGGGAGGGACTGTGTGAGGGGTGACCAGGAGTGGGGGCAGCAATTGGGATGTAAAATGAATAAATAAATTATGGGGAAAAAAACTTCAAAATAAAGTAATTTGATGATAAAAG